GAAATGTAAATTATAAATATAGAATTAAAAGACACATTAGAAACACAAATATATAAGCCATTTATAAGATTTTGTGCGAATTTGAATAAGAGAATCGATAACATATTGAAAGAATAAATATATGCTTGAATATAATGTATGCGGGATTTTCCACGGAGACCAACCACTCTCTAGAAGGCGCTGGCGACGTTCCATCACAAACCTGCCATAACCCTACATGTATACATTCATCAATTTTCAGGATAATTTTTAAAAAATGTTTTAGCTTGACACATAAGCTTAACCTATATCAATCGTAGTTTTCTTTGATTATAATATAAGTATTCTTTTTTTTATGTCTAGGAGCCTTAGAGTGACATTTTAGCTTCCTTTAAGTTACATAGAAGTTTGTCATAGAAAAAAAATACTAACGATGTAAGAGGAATATTTTTATCGTAACTTGGCAAATGCATGTAATGTATCGTATCTCATTTCACACAGATCAGTAATAAAAAAATTGCTTTAATGATTTATAACTAAAATTTGAATATGATGTGGAGCTCAATATAAGTAAACTCTCTTTCAAATTCCAGAATTGTATAAATTATCTTTTTTTTAGTGGTATATCTATCATCTTGAAAAAACTATTTTTTAAATTTATTATCCTTATTCAATGAAATATTTCGAGTATGCAAAACTTTCACACGTACAAAAAGTATTTTTAAATAATAAGTCTTACACACACATACGCACACATAACAATCGGTACTTATATATTATATCATCGACCAATTTCTTCAAATCACAAAATGCTGCGGTATGCGGCCAATGATGGAAAACCCTTCTCAATCTTGTTACAAAACAATTTATACAGTGTTTGCATTCAGCAACGTCTTTTGAGTTAGCGCTGTCATTTATTTTGGCGAAACTGGTCTCGACGGTATATAATATATTATAAATATTATTACCATGATGTTATTAAAAATATTTTGATTTATTTCAAAGAAGCTCAAATAAATTACATTGTATTGAAGAAAAAAGAAAGAGATCAACTTAAAATATTTTGGCAAATCAATTTTTTTTATCTAACCGACTTCTTTATAAACGGAAATAAGAGATACATGATCATTTTTTAAAAAATGAATAATCTTCGAAATGTAATTCTTAAATAAGAACATTATCCATGTAAGTATAGAAAAAAAACCCCAAATATTTAAATTTAAATCCATACTTTATGAATTTAAAATGATTTATCTTCCATTATATATAAAATTATTAACAAAATTTAAATACGCATAGAGCTAAAGAACGCAATGGATTTAAATTTGTAACTTTTTATTCAGAAAGACAGTAAATCGAGGGCTATAGAGTGCAAAATACTACACGGTTCTATCGTAGAAGAGAATAAATAAAAAGCTACACAAACACACTTTTGAGTCCAGAACATTGAACGAACGAATCTATTTTGAGTACGTAACGTTATTTTTAAAACGACGCGTGTAACTGTCTGGAAAGCTTACAAATGTAAGTAGTAATCCTTAATTTAAATATTTAAATTAAGTGAAGATTTTAAAAGTCACTTAAATTCGGTGGGAATTTTTTTTAACGGTTTCTGAAGGTTGAACGGTGTTTCTTTTCATACTTTTAGAACGGTAAAGTTTTTTTTTTTATGAAATAACAAACAAAGCAATTTACACATAAATAATAAATAAATAAATTTAATAATAAATTAAAGAGGTAAAAGTAGTTTATAATTTAAATTTTGTTTTTAAAAAGTCGTGTCATTTTTCTTTTTGCTTTTTACCAAAGAAATTTTCTTCGATATCTTTGATTTTTTGATAGAACAAAATTATTTAAAAAAGTGTTTTATGATAAAAAAAATAGTAACTAATTAAAAACAAACTACAGAACAGACAATAACATAGGTATTAAAGCTCTCGACTGTTTTGAATTCGTGAACATTTTTATAAATTCTCTAATGGAAATTCTACTTTTTTTCCCCCAAACTTGTCCAGCATATGGATTTGATTGTAATAAAGTGCATTTGAAAAGGCAAAAAACAATTATAAATTCGCTAAAAAACGTAAGTTTTCTTTTTTTTTTTGAAAAATGTTCTTAATATTTTTTAGACATCTGAAATCTCCTAAAGGAACAATTAAAGTAAACATAAATTATTATTTTTTTTAGAATACAAAGGCAAAATGTAATTCCAAAATTTAAAATAATTGGTAGACGAGGGAGTTTAAAGATCCACTACCCAGAGTAACTACAGCATAGTAATTTGAATTCGTATTCAAAGATAAGACTAAAAACAGATCAAGCGAAGGATTCGTAATTGGAATTATAAAGACATTCTAAGGTTTGGCAGGGATTTTGTTTATAATCACGAATATAGTTTTTAAGCAACATTTATTTTTCTTACGTTTGTTACTAGAACTGACCGTTGATGTTTTAAAATGTGAAAATTTACAATACGATTTTTGAAGTTCTTTTTTTCTTGCCTTCCCAGTGAATGAGTGCTCTCGAAGATTGAACTCTGCAATCGCTCTTGTCATAATAATCGTAGCTGACTAACCCAAGCAGCAGAAGCACACTCTTGTGATCATTAAACTTCAGTACAGGCCAGGTGAGAACCAGTGAAATTTGGCATTGAAATTATAAAAACGTTCTAAAGTTTGGCACCGGATTTTGTTAATAATCACTAATATGGATTTTGAACAACATTTATCTTTCTTATGTTTGTTACCAGAATTAACTGTTGATGTTCTGAAATTTGAAGACCTACAATGCGATTTTTGAAGTATCTATATTCTTTTTTCTTGCTTTCCCTGTGAATGGGTGCCCTCAAAAATGTAACTCTGTAATCGTTTCTGTAATAATAACTGTAACTGACTCCCCCAAGCAGCAGAAACACTTTCTAGGGATCATTAAACTTTAGTAGAGAAGTGACGGAAGAATGTGGTCTCTATGAGACACCGTCTATATTCTCCACCAATGGCGTAACGTACACCCCCGCATTACAGCGGGGGGCAGTGTTCTAGGGGGCCCGAAGCCTGACTGCCACCAAGTACCTACCCTATGTAAAATTCAACTTGCGGGCCTAAAACCTGACTTTGCAGGAGGGGGAGGGGCAAATGTTCTCCAAAACGTCACTGTTCTTTACCCATTACTTTTATTAATACGTGTTATCCATGTTTGACCTAACTTGAATTAATAAATAACTGTCACATTAAACTGAGACTTAATTGAATCCAACCTCGAATTTACCACCTTTAGTTTAAACTTTATGGTCCAATGCTGTACAACTCTAGTTAAAAAATAGTCACAAAAATTGAATTTTAGAAGTGATTTCTTTATTTGGATAATTGATGTATAAAATTAATAACAGACTTCCTTAAAAACATCATTAAAAATAATAAATACTTTTTAAGCAATGTAATTACCTCTCAATTCTATTTGCTTTGTTTTTTTATTCTAAATTTCTCCAGACAAGTAATTTATATTCATGGGTAAAAATCAGCAATTTAAAAATTTTCAACAATTCAACGTTTTTTTTTTTTAGTTTAATTAAAAATCCATACAAATAAAAAGTGAATTACATAAAAATTATATCAATTCAATTTTAAGCCAAATAATGAATATATATTGCTGCCCACAGTTAAATATTTTGAAAGTGTTTGCTATTTTTTTTACCTAAAAACTAAAGTATGCCTGTCACTTTTAGTTCAAAAAAGGATTTCTTTTGTATGTGCCCATCATTTATAAACTTTTTTTTAAAAAAAAAGAGACGAAAAAAAACCCCCATAAAAATGTATGGCACTAAAGATATTAATAAATCAATTTGGGTTGATAAAGAGGATAATAAATTTTCAGCTGGCGTGCTTTGGGGAAAAAACAGCAGAATGAAAAATTAAAACCGGCACTATCTTTTTTAAATTTTATTTTGGCACAATAAATGACGTATACATTTTCAAAGACGTGATTTAAAAAGGTATTTTATCAAGACATCTTGAATCTGAAATACAATCCGAAATCTGGCTGAAATTGAGATTCTCACAGGATAGATAACAATGAATCAAACTGACAAAATGTATACAAAAGACTGTTATCAGTAGCAATAAATTAAATCGTTCGAAAACATACCACCCCATCTCTTGGGATGTTCATAGTAAAAAAAATCTTGCCATAGTAAAAAAATCGTTTTAAACGCCAGATGAATATAAAACAAACAATAAACAAGCCTGTAAGTTTTACAATTTATTCATTGCTGTATAATCGCAGCAATTTCAGAGATATTCAAATATTTCTATTATTTAAAATTAAATATAGGTTTTCGTAACAATCTTTAACAATTTTTGGAAACCTTAATATTTCAAATATCATGTTTCGGTGGATTTTTTAAGCTTTTATTTTACGTATCGTTTAAGACAACGGTTCTCAAACTGTGGTTCGCGGACCACCAGGAGTCCCCAGCACATTTCTAGAGGGTTCACGAATGTATCTCACTTAATGATTCTTTCTAGGATTTCCCTCTTTTACAGACTCTGAAAATCCTCGTGGAAAAATTGAAAGAGGGGCCATCCTAGAGTAGATCACTAAATTGCCCCCAAAGAAAAAACGACTAGAACATGTACTCCATTTGTTACTAAATCGAATTACTAAAATCAGTTCGAAATTAATTACTCACTTAGTAATAATGCCTGTGCCCGTATTCTAAACCACAAATCATTCAATACATTTTTAATTCTTGATTTGAATTTATTCAGTTCTTACTATTAGTTCACACTCTTCCCATATATATTAATTTCTATATATATATCTTGTTCAAATTTTCATAAAATACTTTTATTCATTCACTCAAGTTCAAACACATTTTTTAACTTGTTGTGGATGACGCTTGATGTTAATACAGTTTTTTTCAATTATTAATTCATTATTTAATTTTAATTAATGCATAAATACTAACAAACAAAAGTAATAGTCGAGCACCATGTATAATAAAACCACCATATTCGCGTTGTGTCCCTGTAGCGCAATGGCAAGCGCAATGGACATCTCATCCAAAGATTGTGGGTTTGAATCCCACCAGGCATGGCCTAATTTCTGAGAATGGGATTTCTTTTTACTGTACTATTTTACTGGGATAATTAAATTTTTAATTAATGAACAAGTAGTAACAAACAAAAATAATAATCTAATACCATATATAGAAAGGAAAAGGGAAAATTGCAAGCAAAATCGCTTTCTCTATTTTGCCACTCAATATTATGATTCATTGTAACTATTTAATAAAAAGTAGCTAAAAAAAAAAAAATTTCTTTGTTGACCTAAGTAGGAATTGACTTATTTTTTTACATATCTATTGTTTTTTTTTGCTTGAAATGTTAATGTTTTACCACAAGAAGGTCCATAACTTACATTAGAAAAATTGAATAACAAGTGTGTCGTCAGAGATAAATAAAGGTAGCGTGATATTGATTAATTTAAATATTTAGTTTATTTACGTCACAGCTATTACTTACAGATTATACATTGAAGTTATTAATCTTATACATTAGCTTATTAAAAGTCCATGCTTTGTTTGTGAGGGAGGAATTTTGGGGTACGCTCTCAACGAAAGTTTTTAGACGAACCTTCGTTCTCTCTCTGCTCTCGCTAGAGTCTTGGGGATGACCGCGGACGGCCCCTTTATCTTTGGGTTGCATCCAATTGCAATAGGAGGGGGGGGGGGATTCCTAGTGGTGTTAAAGGTTTCCGGGGCGATCCAAGACAAGACCGCGCAATAATTTAAGGTTACACGTGTTGCTTGAATGTGTAGTTCATATCCCCAAAGAAGCCGATTCACAGCTGTGTTGCGGCAATTTCTACAACAAGCAAAATTATGTTAAAATTTTAACTACAAATATTTGGTAATTTCCGTTCTCGTAGGTGTGAGTGTTATAAGAATGAAGAGCTCGATCTGTTGTGTCATCTATTGAATGAACGCTACGTACCTTGTATAGTTGTGACGGGCTCATCGCGCTTTCCATAAATTGTCCTCTTGGGTTTGTGAAGGTCTCCTAGGACCTCACTTTGAGAACGAGAATAAATAGGAGTCATGTAAGAACCAGTAGCCATTTTTATTAACAACTTTCTTTATTTGGTTATCTTATCCAAATAGAATCAAAGACTTATTGACAAATTTATCTACTAGTATTATGAGGTTTTAAAGGTAATATCCTTTAAATTAAATTAATTAATTAATGATCCAATTAATTAATTTATTAAATAACGATCACGCAGAGATTACCACGAAAAGAGATTCCAGAATTATATTTAATAATGTTCCTATTGAACATTTATCTTTAATCTCACTCTTAAAACTTTAATGAGACTTTAATTATAAATCAATAATTACCAACGGAATCTCAACTCCTTTTGAGAGTAAATTATCTCCAACAAGAAATCTTCAATTTAACTTCACTATATCTTTCTGCTTCAATCTCTATCTCCTACTGCTCTAACTTTACTATTCCGTTTGACTTAAATACTTTATCTAATCTGCATAACAAGGAATCCTGTCCGCTTTTTGGAGTTGATTGGAAATAGGTAGGGAATTAAATTTCCCTAAAAAGGTCGACTCCGAAGGTTAGTGATAAAGTTCCGTATAGATTTGTCACAGGTTCTTTGGGACCAAAAAAGGCAAATTCTTTCCAACCAAATACAGAAGCGAAGCGTGATTATGCAAATTAAGAACCTTTTAAATAGCAGAAGTTTAGCGTAAGCAGTGTGGCCTTTTGAGAAGGGATTATGATAGTCTGTATTTAAGCGCGTAAGCTAAAGTAAGAGAAGTTAGCCGAATTTCAAGTTTTCAGTTATTCGTGCCAGTGCGTTCAAGTCAAGGTGGATACCATTCCACGCGAAATAAAGAAAAGTCATTTAGGATCCGAGAAAGTTACCACTACCCAAGATATAGAGGTAGGATCGTTCTATTAACTACTAGGAACTGTGTATATACAGAGGTTAGAAGCAAGCGGTAAAGTTAAATATAGTGGTCAGGGTCGCGCTTATTTGGTAATACGTATTGTGTGTTTCTTCACCTCAGATCCACTAAATTTAAATATATGTATTATCATTGTATAGTGTTTAAGTTAAGATCCTTATAAATAGATATTAATATTATGGCAACGCCTGGTTCCTCATTCACTCCCACACCCCTAGGTCACGAGGATAACTTAGAAGTAAGGCAACACCCACGGCCTAATGCCTTACATAGTTTTGTTTCAAGTGAGTGTCAAATCACTCGAGTTGTTGAAAACGAATCGAGAAGAGATGTAACGAAACAGTTTTGTAGTAAATAAATAATATACGTATATAAACGTTAGATACCTTGCTTTCAATTAATGTTAAGCTCTCAATAAATCAGTAACAATTATAGATCTAAGAAACCAGCACCTTCTTTAAAAATTAACTAACTTTTATTGCTTAGCCTTTCAATTACTGTCAACCTTTGTTGTAGCTAATGGGAGCGATTATCCTTTTAGCCTATTTTAAATATTTATGACAAAAAGACACTTATCATTTAATGCAGGTACTCAGCTTGGTTTCTTGGACTCAAACCTCGAGGTTCCGAATCCTTTTTCTGGATACTAACAATTCACAATTATAAATATATGATTTAACCTCACATTAACAAGTCTAACGGCAATCTTTCGTATCGAATTGCCACTTTAAATTGTAATTCAATTTTGCATAAGCCAAAACTTCTTTACGCAAAGAGGTTCTCAAATCAAAAAATTTACTGGAAGCATTGCCACTAGAGGATTAGATGAAGGACGCGAGGAGAACCCGTTACAAAAATATACGCAGTTATTTTTCCCACACAGCTTTAAACTTTCTAACATAATTTCTACTAAGTTTAGATTATGTAGTAACTTTGTCATTTGGAAAAGTTCGCTTTTTTATTTCTAATGGAGCTGCTGATTGGTGTTTTACCATTGCAGACCTAGTACATTCCCCGGGAGCTGGTACCTCTTTTTAGTGCGGCACCACGTAAGCGGATACCAATCGCCGCAGGTGTTTTTGAAGCCCAGTTTCCTCCCTAGAGGGAGGCACCTGCTCTGACGATCCGAACCTATACTAGGATTTAATTTTACCGAGAGCACTCAAGCCAAGCAGGTATTCAAGGTATCTTTTACATGCCGCATAATCATGCGACATAGCAGCTGTCGATTTTCTGCATCAAGAAAACCCACCGACTTGGGCCAGGGTCGAACAGGCGTTCAGGGTCAGCGACAAACCAACTACGCCACCCAGCCGGCTGAATAGAAAAAAAGTTGCATGTATTATTTCACAAGTAACCATTAATTATTATATCCCCATATAAATTCTTACATAAAACCGTCTTTTTTAAAAAATTATGAATCTACTTCAATCGTTTGGCAAATATGCGCACGAGTTAATTGTTATTTTCAGGAACAAAAAGTACTAGTAAAGAATAATTTTTTCTCCTTACCTAAGTGCACCCGTAAGGGTACATGTATCTCAGTTGGAGACATGTCCGCTTTCTCCTCGAAGTTGCTCAGTGGTAAAACTTTAAATCACAATTGATTAAAAACAAATGTAAAACAAGATTAAAATTATGGATATTTAACGCTATTTTACTCAAGGCGTGACTGTAAAAATATTTTGTGTTTTAAAAAAACTATGTTAGACAGGAATGATGATGGCTTGCTGACGAATGAATGTCTTCGTGGTACTGTGATTGGAATGCAGACACTTTCAAAATATGGCTAGAAAATAGCAAAACAGGAACATCTGGATTGGGGTGATGAAAAATTCGTCTGAATGTCTTTTCTGCGTCTGAGTGCCTTGCAGCGAAATAAAAAATATTAGAATAGAAATATAGTAGAGAAATATTTCTCAGTTTTAGAAAATAGTTCTTAAGAGAGAGAGAGAGTTACGAGTATTTAAAAAGATTTGAACAGTTTTTTTTCTCATTCTAATAAAATATAGCTTTAACAGGAGAAATTGTTCCTTCTTGTATGTAGTATTTTAAAATATTGCCATAAAATGATAAAATTTTAAAGAAGATTAATTCTTATTTGATTATTTCATTATATGAAAGTTAATACATGATCTATTTTTTTAAGAATGAAACAATCCAAAGTTAATATTTTGTTCAAAACTTCTATATCCTGTTCTGGAGTAAAAGTATTCTAAAAACGGAAAACGAATAATTTTTTTAAAAAACATTTTTTGGTTATAAAGGTTACAGATTTATGAAATACTTAAATGTATTGTTAGAAATGAGCAAAAATTATTCTTACCGTAAATGTTTGTAGCACGCCAGTTACTTAAAGCGTTTAAAAAAATGTGTGTGAATACATTTTATAAAATTTCCCCAAAACAGTCCGCTTATAAGTATGATTAGGGTAGAAAAAACATGTACTATGGATATATATATATATATATATATATATATATATATATATATATATATATATATATATATAATCCAATATAAGAATTTTTTAATATATAATCATATACATATACATACACATATATATAAATTTATACACACATATACATATACATATAAACAAAAATATAAAAATAATCATATAGTTATAAACCTAAGATAACTAAATATATATATATATATATATATATATATATATATTAGTTCCACAAATTTCAAAAGTCATTCAAATAATTTTGTTTGTATTTGTTCTAACTCTGCAAAATAACAAGGACATCTTAGGGCTCGTGATCTTGGTAGAAAAAAAAAAAAGCAACTGATTCTTTTATACATTCAGTCCCACATCCAAGAAGGGAGTTTACATATTTATCTCTTAAAAAGTAAGTAATGAATCCAGTGGCGTAACGTACACCCCCGCATTGCGGGGGGCAGGGCTCTTGAGGGCCCACAGCCTGACTATCGCCAAGTACCTACCCTTTGTAAAATCCAACTTTGGGGGCCCCAAACCAGACTTTGCAGGGGGGCCAAGTGTTCTCCGTTACGCCACTGAATGAATCTCTTTTAACCTCTTAACATACATTTCAGAAAAAAGGACCAAAAATGGAAAATTTTTTTTGGCTGTTTAATTAAT